TCTACCTCTCCTCCCAGTTTAGTGTCATCTGCAAACTTGCTGAGGGTGCAATCCACACCATCCTCCAGATCATTTATGAAGATATTGAACAAAACCGGCCCGAGGACCGACCCTTGGGACACTCTACTTGATACCAGCTGCCAACTAGACATGGAGCCATTGATCACTACTCGTTGAGCCTGACAATCTAGCCAACTCCCTTGCCCCACTCCCTGCAGCAGACGCCCCCTAGCACCGCCCTGGGCATTGGGGCCAGCATGGACTGCCAGGGAGAGCGCCCCCTGCTCATTGCACAGTGGGGTCAGCTGGAGCTGGCTCCCATGGGGCTCCGGGCGGGGACAGGGGGCAATTGTCCAGACCTTGGTTTTACTCCAATTCAGAACAAGCTCAAATTTCTCAATATTTTTTGCTACCCGACAAGCCCCGAAAACGCTGGTTGGTTCTGTTGCGATACAGGCTGAGGGCCACTGAACAGGGCTGTGAACCCAACACTGGTGGGGGGCCCTTTGCACCAGGCTAGTCTAAGCCCCACCAAGAGCTGCTCTGCCTGGTTCCTCCCTCCACAGCGTGACCCCTGGGGACAGTCATGGGCTAGGGGCCAGAGCCAGCGACAGGTGGCAGCTCTGGGGGCTGCGGGGGAGGGGTGGGATTAGCTGCTAACCAGCTTTCATAATAGGGTCAGAGATCAGGATGTGACAGGACTTGAGCAACGTGGGGGTGGGCAGGTTGGGCCCTGCAGCATGGGGTGGGGGAGGTTCCGGATCTGCAGCCAGGGCAGGAAGGGGTCCCTGCAGCTGGGTGGGGGGGTGTCCCTCCACCGAGGAGGGTGAGGGGGGTCCCTTCAGCTGGAGTGGTGTCCTTTCAGCGTGGGGCTGGGGGAAGGGAGGGATCCCTGCTGCCAGGTCAGGGAGGGGTCCCTGCAGCTGAAGGCAGAGTGTCTGGGGCACCTGGCATTGGCCACTCTGAAGACAGGATAGTGGGCTAGATGCACCTTTTGGTCTGACCCAGTGTGGCTGTTCTTATGTTATGTTCTGGGCGTCCATCCTTGTAGCTGGGGGGCGATGGGTACCTGCAGCCAAGTGGGGGGATCTCAGAGTCATCGTAGATAGTTCTCTGAAAACAATATGCAGCACAGTCAAAAAAGCGAACCGAATGTTATGAACCATTAGGTAAGGACTAGATAATAAAACAGAAAATATCATATGGCCTCTGTAAATCCATGGTACACCCACATCTTGTACCCGGTGTGCAGTTCTAGTCACCCCATCTCAGAAAGGATATATTGGAAAAGGTCCAGAGAAGGGCAACAAAAAAGATTAGGGGGAGAGGATAAACAGACTGGAGCTGTTCCACTTGGGAAAGAGATGAGAAAGGGGAGAGATATGGTAGAGGCCTGATAAAATCGTGACTGGCGTGGAGAAAGGGCGTACGGAAATGTTATTTATCCCTTCACATAACACAAAAGCCAAGGGGTCACCCCATGAAGCTAATAGGCAGCAGGTATAAAACAAACAGGAGGAAATATTTCCCCATACAAAGCACAGTCAACCTGTGGAACTCTTTGCTGGGGATGTTGCGAAGGCCAGACGTAAAATGGGGTTAATAAAAGAACTGCTTTTAAGGAGGTGTTAGTACCATTATACAAGGCACTGGTGAGACCTCATCTGGAACACCGTGTGCAGTTCTGGTCCATGTTTAAGAAGGATGAATTCAAACTGGAACAGGTACAGAGAAGGGCTTCTAGGGTGATCCCAGGAATGGAAAACCTGTCTTACAAAAGGAGACTCAAGGAGCTTGGCTTGTTTAGCCTAACCAAAAGAAGGTTGAGGGGAGATATGATTGGTCTCTATAAATATATTAGAGGGATAAATACCAGAGAGGGAGAGGAATTATTTAAGCTCAGTACCAATGTGGACACAAGAACAAATGGATATAAACTGGCCATCGGGAAGTTTAGACTTGAAATTAGACGAAGGTTTCTAACCATCATTAGAGGAGTGAAGTTCTGGAACAGCCTTCCAAGGGAAGCAGTGGGGGCAAAAGACCTATCTGGCTTCAAGATTAAACTCGATAAGTTTATGGAGGAGATGGTATGATGGGATAACATGATTTTGGCAATTAATTGATCTTCAACTATTCATGGTAAATAGGCCCAATGGCCTGTGATGGGATGTTAGATGGGGTGGGATCTGAGTTACTACAGAGAATTCTTTCCTGGGTATCTGGCTGGTGACTCTTGCCCACATGCTCAGGGTTCAGCTGATCGCCATATTTGGGGTCGGGAAGGAATTTTCCTCCAGGGCAGATTGGAAGAGGCCCTGGGGGGTTTTCACCTTCCTCTGTAACATGGGGCACAGGTCACTTGCTGGAGGATTCTTTGCACCTTGAAGTCTTTAAACCATGATTTGAGGACTCCAATAGCCCAGACATAGGTGAGAGATTTATTGCAGGAGTGGGTGGGTGAGATTCTGTGGCCTGCATTGTGCAGGAGGTCAGGCTAGATGATCATAATGGTCCCTTCTGACCTTAATATCTATGAATCTATGAAACTAGATAAGTTCATGGAGGATAGGTCTATTAGTGGCTATTGGCCAAGATGGTTTGGGATGCAACCCCATGCTCTTGGTGTCCCTAAACCTCTGGCTGCCAGAAGCTGGGACTTGACAACAAGGGGTGGATCACTTGATAAATTGCCCTGTTCTGTTCACTCCCTCTCAAGCACCTGGCATTGGCCACTGTTGGAAGACAGGATACTGGGCTAGATGGACCATGGGGCTGACCCAGTGTGGCCGTTCTCACGTGTCCCTGCAGCTGGGGGAGGGGTCCCTGCAGCCGGGGGAGGGGTCCCTGCAGCTGGGGGAGGGGTCCCTGCAGCCGGGGGAGGGGTCCCTGCAGCCGGGGGAGGGGTCCCTGCAGCCGAAGTGGGGTCAGTGCTAGTTGGACAGAGTGTAGGTGCCAGGGAGGATGCTGCTCCAGGCCTAGTCCCGCTGCGCCTAGGCTCAGCTCTCAGGCATGCCCCCCCCAACAGTGGCCGCTTGAGGTGCACTGTCCCTTAATCAACCCACCCTAAACATAACCCCAGCTGTGTCCTGAGTGCCCGGCATGCACAATTCCCTGCCAGCATGACCCACAGCACAGACCCCTCACCTCCCCAGACCCATGACATCGAGAACCCCCAAACCCATCCGAGAACCCACGGAAAGGAGACAAACAGCCCCACGCACCCACAGGATAGACCCCCCCCAATACACATCTGGGACCCACAGCACAGAGCCCATGCACCCCAGGATCCAGAGCACAGTAATCGCCCCAGTGGAACCTCTAGCTGCATGCGACCCTGCCATTCCACAGCACCCTTCCCCACCTCGGGACACAGGGTCAGCTCCCTCCCCAGCACCCCTCCGCTCATTGGGACATAGGGACAGCTCCTTCCCCAGGGCCCCACCCCTCCACAAGGCACAGGGTCCTCTCCCTCCCCAGCGCCCCTCCGCTCCTCGGGGTGCAGGGTCCACTTGTGACGAAGTGGGAATGTTCTTAATATTTTCTCTCAATACTGTGTGTGTGCCTCAGTTTCCCCTATGCATTTCTTAAGTATCTAGGTGGTAGGATAAGGGGATATGATTGTTGCAGAGCCCTAGAGGGGAAAGAGTGTGCAGGGGTCTGCACAGAGAATGGCCGACACCCTGTCTCCTGGCAACTGATGGCCGGGGCCTCTCCCCCACAAGGTGCCAACTGAAGGTGTTGGAGAACAAAGAGATCAGGTGGCCTCCTGGCTTCGGAAAGAGACAAAGGCCAGAGGAGCAGCTGGAGGGGTTTTCAGTTTGGAGCTGGCTGGGGAAACGGAGGGAGGCCCAGCATCGGGGTCTGGGTTCCCTGCCCCCAAGATGGACCTGACTGAGGGGTTCTGTTGTCTGTACCTACAAGCTCTGTTTTGGACTGTGTTCCTGTCGCCTAATAAACCTTCTGTTTTACTGGCTGGCTGAGAGTCATGGTGAATTGCAGGAAGTACGGGGTGCAGGGCCCTGACTCCCCTACATTCCGTGACACCGCTCTCTCCCCAGCCCCCTCCCCTCCTCAGGACACAGGGTCAGCTCCCACCCCAGCCCCTCTCCCCTCCATGGGGCACAGGGTCGGTTCCCTCCCGGGTGCCTCTCCCCTACACAGGACACAGGGTCCTGTCCTTCCCCAGCTCCCCTCCTCAGGGCTCAGTGTCAGCTCCATTCCCAGCACCCCCCATAGACATGTGGAGGTTGGGAGCTGCAGTGGGTGCCTTGAAGGGGAGGAAAGGGTTTCCAGACACATTGTCCACCCCTTCCCTGACTGTAGGGCCCCAAACACTCCCTGAGGTTGGGCAGGGGAGCTGTGCACAGGGGGCGTCTGCATGAATGGGGAACCCTCAGGAGGAGGAGCTGCCCCAACTGCACCAGACCAAAAAGAGGGTGCCCCTCCAGCCCCCAACTCCAGGACAGACAGTCACAGCCCAGAGATGCTAGGAGAGGTTACACTGGCCCAGTGTCGGCAGGGACACCAGCCAGTCGTGAGGGAACGGGTGCAGCTGCTGAGAGCAGGGGTCTGGGAGCCAGGACTCCTGGGTTCTGGCTCTGGGAGGGGATGGGAGTGGGGTATAGTAGTTAGAGCGGGGGGGGAGGGGGGCTGGGAGCCAGGACTCCTGGGGTTCTATCCCCAGCTCTGGGAGGGACTGACTTTGATGACAGCTGTGTGCGCTGTCATGCAGACTGTTGCCATCTACTGGCCGAAGCCGGGACTCCCAAAGCCTGCAGGAGCTTGCTGTCTCTGGGCCAGTTCTGGAGGCAGCACCTTCCTTGCCTTGCAGGCACTGCTGTGCCTGGCCCCTCCGGACCCCTCTGCCCACTGCTCTCAGGAATTGGGCTGCTCCCAATGCCTCAAGCTCTGAACCTGCTGGGGTAAGGCCCGGGCCTGCCTGTGCAGCGCCGAGCGCTTGGCAGACGCAGGCAGACACGGGGCAGTCGGTCATCCAGTGGATTCAGCTCTTTATTCGCATCTGCTCAGCCTGGGATGGCGTGTGGCACCCGGGGCTCTCCCCCTCCCGGCTCCTGCCTGTCCATGCAGCACGGACCCCTCCGGGGGAGACAGTCGTGTATCCCGGCCCCCAAGGGGGTGGGGGGTGCAGCCCCACCCCGGCGATGGCAGGGTTTATCAGGGGCGGCTCCCTTGGCTGGAGTTGGAGCGACGGCCCTGGAAACCCGTGCTCCGAGCGGGGCCTGCCAGGGCGAGCTGCCCCATTGTTAGCGAGACACGAGCCCCAGTCTGTGCCAGCGTTGTGCGGCAGCCCACAGAGTGTGGCTCACAGTGGGAGGGGAATGCCCTGGGCGCCTGTGGTTCATCCCTGAAATGGGAATCCCCCCGGGCACTAACCAAGCCATGCCCTTGCACAGCCAACAGCCATCCCCGGGCTGGGCGGGCAGGGCCAGGGAGCCTGGCAGCAGAGAAGAAGGGCCTGGCAGCAGGGGGGATGCACTGAAAGCTCGGGGACGGGGTGGGGGGGAATCAATGGAAGGCCATGGAGGAGCTGTGGCCGGCTCAGCTGTCCTGCAGGATGAAGAGAACACGGGAGGTTAGGGAGCACTGCCCATGGCCTCGGGCGAGGGCTGCAGGGAGCGCCAGGCACCTCACCCAACTGTGTGCTTCTGTCAGCCCCATTCTCACCCCTTCACTGACACAGCCAGTGCCTACGGCCACTCCCTGCCTGGACCCAGGAGTCCTGGCTCCCAGCCCCCCTGCTAGCCACCTGGATCCCACTCCCCTCCCAGAGCTGGGATAGAACCCAAGAATCCTGGCTCCCAGCCCCCCTGCTAGCCACCTGGACCCCACTCCCCTCCCAGAGTTGGGAGAGAACCCAAGAATCCTGGCTCCCAGCCCCCCTGCTAGCCACCTGGACCCCACTCCCCTCCCAGAGTTGGGAGAGAACCCAGAAGTTGTGGGGCTCCCTGTATCTCCCTCTCCCTGGCTGTGGGCATGCACCTGGCAGACCACACTGACGTCCTCCCAGTGGGTGCAGTCATTGTAGCTCCAGAAGCGGTGGGCACATTTCTGCAAGGTCTCCTCGGTGCCTTTGCAGCGGATGTCGTCCAGCCAGATTTTCCCCGTACCCTGGCCAAAGCGGGGCCAGTCCTGCGGCTTTGGGGCCAGTGGCTCGGCTGGGCCACAGCCCAGCTCCTGGCATACCACTTGGGCGATGGTCACTGACCAGTTGTCATCGCAAACGGTGCCCCACACCCCATCATACCGCACCTCCAGCCGCCCGGAGCACTTGCTTGGGCCGTCCACCAGCCGCAGTGCGAAGGGCTCTGCGAGGAAGCGGGGGGGTCAGCTGTGTCGGTGCCCCAATGCATGCTGGGAAGGCATGGCCTGGCTGGTGCAGGGGGCTTGCCCGGCACTGACCCCCACATCGCAGGGGCGCCAGTGCTGTGCTCTCTGTGCCCAACTAGGAGGGGCAGCTGTTGCCAGGCTCAGCTGGGGCCATGGCACACGCTGCCCCAGTGGGCAAGAAGGCCGGGGATGGCCCTGCTCCAAGGGGACCAGCTTGGCACTCAGGGGGAAAAGTGCAGCCATCCCTGTCTGACCTGGGCCTCTGGCAGGTGGTGAGGGCCTGGTACCAGCGCTGCTTTCTCACCTTGGCACATGACTCCGGTGTCCCGGTGGTGGGGGCAGTGCCGCCCCTCCCAGGCTTGGACTCGGCAGTGGGTCAGGGAGGCCTCCTGCCCGGTGCACTCCAGCTGGCCCAGCAGGATGGGTGCTGAGCTCTGACCAAACTTGCTGCAGTGGTGGGTGACGTACCGCGGGCTCCCGCAGCCCAGCTCCCGGCAGAGCACCTTGGCGTCAGTCAGGTCCCAGCCCAACCCACACACAGCACCCCAGCGGCCGTCATGGTAAATCTCCACCTGCCCACTGCAGCGCGTGCTGTTGCCCACCAACCGGACAGGTGGCTCTGGGAGCTCTGCAGCTAGAGACAGGGGGAGAGATATGAATGAGGATCAGGGAGAGATCAGGGGCTGTAGAGAGCAACTTACAGAGCTGGGAAAGACCCAGGAGTGCTGGCTCCCAGCCCCCTGCTCTAACCACTAGGCTCCACTCCCCATGTAAGGTCTGCAGCCTTTTTTCTGCAGCCATATTAGGAGAGCAGCAGCCATGAGCCAAGAAGCAGAAAGTCCCGTCCTCACATTCCATCTAAGTTACATTAAAACAATATAGTAGCGGGCTGTTAAGAAGGCTCCTGTCCTAATAGTACCCACATCACCAGATAAAGAAACAGATCTTAAGATGTTTAAATAAAATGTTGTTTGATGCATTCTGTCTGGCAAGGTACCACTTATCAACACTTGTGGGTGTGAAATCTCTACTTTATAGCTTTGCCCACTTCTCTCTTGTTTATCTGTATGGTCTCTGTCTGGTTCTTTGATTGTTTCTGTCTGTTGCAGTTTCTGTCTGTTGCATAATTAATTTTACAAGATTTAAATCAGCTATGGTGGTGGGGGCTGATTGGTTAAAGAATTGTTTCATAATGGGCTAGGGTTGTGAAAAATACTGTTTTGTAGTTTCTTAGTTTAATATAATTGGTTAAGGTATAGCTAGGCAGGACTCAAGTTTCTTTATATAAACTTGCATTCATCTCCATGCAGCTGAAGAAGTGGGGTTTTTACCCACAAAAGCTTACACCCAAATAAATCTGTTAGTCTTTAAGGTGTCACCGGACTCCTGGTTGTTTTTGTGAATACAGACTATCACGGCTACCCCTCTGATACTATATAAACTGGGGTCCAAAAGGAAGTTTTTTGAAATCAACTCCAGGACACAGCCCCAAGACCAAAGCTGCCAGACCTCAACACCCTGCCAACGACACTGTGCAGAAGTTGGAGTCCCCAGATGATCTGATTTTGACTGGCCAGCAGGAAAATTTCATCTGCCTTATTGGGAGTGCTGAGCATTGTATGCTTAGCCTGTGTATTCTGTGTTGGTAACTGTTAATAAATATAGGTTAAGGGTGTGATGAAGTGGGACTGTTCTTAATGTTTCCTCTGAATACTGTAGGTGTGCCTCAGTTTCCCCATGCATTTCTTAAGTTTCTAGGTGGAGGGATAAGGGGGTGTAATTGTTGCAGAGCAAAGGGTCAGTGTACATAAATGGCCGATACGCTGTCTCCTGGCAACTGATGGCCGGGGCCCTTCCCCCTGCAAGGTGATAGCTAAAGGTGTTGGAGAACAAAGGAATTAGGTGACCTCCTGGCCCGGGAAAGGGACAAAGCCCAGGAGAGGAGGAGGGGCTGGAGAGTGAGTGAGTTGGGGGCTGGCTGGGGAAGTGGAGTGAAGTGCAGACATGGTTGTCTGGCTCACTGTCCCTCAAAATAGACCCGGCTGAGGGGTCCTGTTCTCTGTACCTACAAGCTCTGTTTTAGACCATGTTCCTGTCATCTAATAAACCTCTGTTTTACTGGCTGGCTAAGAGTCACGTCTGACTGTGGAGTTGGGGTGCAGGACCCTCTGGCTTCCCCAGGACCCCGCCTGGGTGGGCTCGCTGTGGGAAGTGCACGGAGGGGCAGAGGATGCTGAATGCTCCGAGGTCAGACCCAGGAAGGTGGAAGCTGTGTGAGCTGTTTGCCCTGCAGACAGGCTGCTCACAGAAAGGAGACTTCCCCAGAGTCCTGCCTGGCTTCGTAGGGAGCAGTTCTGGAGCATCGCCCGGGGACTCCGTGACAACTGGTATTACCGTGTAAGGCTCTTTCCCTGGAACGCCCCACAAACCCACAGAAGGTTACACCCTGAGCCCTAGGAATTGGGTATGGGTAGCCCTGAGCCCTAGGAACTGGGTAAGGGAAGGTGTCTTTCCCCTGGAGTCCTAGGAACTGGAAAGGGTCAAGGTGCCAAAGTCAACCAGGTTACACCTTAAGCTCTAGGAAGTGGGTAAAGGTGGGTGCCCTAGAGTGTGTAGGTAACACCCTCCCAGAGCCAGGAATAGTCCTCAGGAGACCTGACTCCCAGCTCCCCAACCCACGAGAGCCCACTCCCGTCCCAGAGCTGGGGATGGAACCCAGGAGTCCTGGCTCCCAGCCCTGCTGGGAATGTATTAGTAGCAGATGGTGTGTGTGGATGCTGACCCTACTGCATGAGAGCGTTTTCCCTTCATAACCTTGCCCCATGGCACATGACAGGAAGCAGAGCCCAGGCCCTGCTTGTCCCACCCTCCGGGCCTGTCAGGTCCCCTCCCTGCTCCCTGGGCAGACTGTGCAGTGCTCACCCAGCCAGGCCGCTCAGTCAGAACTGAGCACCCTACCCTGGGACTCCAGGCATCCTCCCATCCCTCCCTTAGGGCCAGGGCTGTCCAGGCCGGCTCACCTTGGCAACGAGCCCCCGCGTCCTCATCATGCTTGCAGAAGTTCCCTGGATTCGTGTACAGGCAGCTCCCCAGCGTCGCCTCTGTCCCCTCGCACTCCACGTTCAGCATCAGGACAGGGAGTGACTCGGGGCCCGGGCCGAACACTTTACCACTCAGGGCGTCCATGGCCTGCCCGCAGCCCAGCTGCCTGCACACCACGGCCACGTCGCTCAGGTCCCAGCCGTCGTCACACACGGTGCCCCAGCGCCCGTCCAGACGCACCTCCACCCGCCCGGCACAGCGGTGGTGGCCACCTACCAACCTTACCTCTGGCAAAGCAAACAGCTGCTGGGACACCTGCTCCGGGACTGCGCGGGGAGACCCCAGGGGCTGCAGGGACTGAAGGCCCAGCTCAGCGCGAGGCATTGCCAGCGAGTGCAGAACAGGGCAGAATGGGCTTTCCTGCAACACTAACCCTGGGCCCTTCTCCCGCACCTCCCTTCCGCCATGTGCTGCACAGACAAGTCACTGAGCCCCAGGAAATGGTGCAGCATCAGTGCCCCTGCTTTACAGAAGGGAAACTGAGGCACAGAGACAGGAATTGACTCCATTGCAATGAGTAACAGCTCACATAGAGGCAGCTCCTAGTGCCCTGCTCCAGTTTGCTCCCATTGTGTGCTTGAACCCAAGCAGCTCCCTTGCTCCCATTGCATGCTGGGATCTGCACTCAGGCAGCCACCTCACTTCCATTGCATGCTGGGATCTGCGTTCGGGCAGCCTCCTCACTCCTGTTGCATTCTGTGACCTAACTTCAGGCAGCTGCCTAATGCCTTTGCACTCTGGGACCTGTGCTTGGGCAGCTGACTCTCCAAAGGGTGGCCGTGGTCACCTCTGCTCAGGCCCCAGCCGTGGTGCCGGGGGGTTGGGATCCTGGCCTGGGTTCTGGCAAAGGGCAGCCCCCTGGGGGCCAGACATACTTACCTGAGGAGGAGGAGACTCCCACGTCGGCAGCTGAGGAGAGACAAGGGGGAAACTGTCAGGAGCAGAGAGGGGCCCGTGCACCCCAAAGCTTCCCAGTCCCAAGGCACCTGAAGGAAAGTGGGGCTGGGCGGGACAGAGTCCGGAGCAGTTAGAGCCAGACACAGCAATGACACATGCTGGGACCCAGGGGAACGGGGGAGCCCCAGGCCGGCTGCCCATCGGCTGCTCTGCTCTGCTCCTCTCCATGGTGCACAGACCAGCCCCATGAGGGCACTGTCTGGCCCCACTAGCACTCAGACTCAGGCCCTTTCCCTGTGGGGGGACTTGGCAGGGCAGGTCTCAGCCACATCCCCTGGTCGGGGAAGAACAGGTAAGCTCGTTGTATCCCCACCGAGCTGGCACCTCCCCGTGATGGGGCGGGTGCCTTCCACACCCGGAGGGGCCCTCACCGAAGCAGAGCAAGAGGCACAGCAGCAGATCCATGGCTCCCCCAGGGTGAGCAGCTCCGTCCTGCCGCGATCCGGTGCCAAGAGCTCGTCTCACCCCACACCGCCCAGGAAGCCCTTTTTAAGGTCTGGCACAGGACTGCCAGGTCAGTATGGGAGGAACCGGAGTGAGGGGCCGGCCCATGAACCCATCACAAGATCATTTCCGGGCACCATGGCACTGGGCTCAGCACGTGTCCCAGGGCTGGGGGAAGGAGGGCAGGGGAGTGACACTGAGGTCAGTAGTGTTGCCTGCAAATAAACCTGCTGATGTGGCAATGGATGGCCAGCGCTGCAGGAAGCAGAGCAGGAACTCAGTGGGAGGCAGTCTCCCCGTACAGTCAGTGCTGGCCCCAGTGCTATCCCTGGCTCTGGCAGGGGAGTGGGGTCTGGTGGCTAGAGCAGGGGGCTGGGAGCCAGGACTCCTGGGTTCTATCCCTGGCTCTGGCAGGGGAGTGAGATCTGGTGGTTAGAGCAGGGGGGCTGGGAGCGGGGACCTCAGAGGCACCTCCCCACTCCATGACTGTCCTGAGTCCCATGGCTCTGGCCCAACTTTCTGGGAGCCAGCAGCTGGCTGAGTTCAGACAAACTGGTCTCCAGCTGTAACTCAAGGCTGATGTTGTGCTTATGCCTAGTGAAGGAGGTGTGACGAATGCAGGGATGCTATGGCCGCCCCTTCATAACCTGAGATCCAGGAGGGGGATGCAACCAGGTGACTCTTGGCCTGGGAAGCAAGACAAAGGCCGGAGGAGGAGCAACGGGCAGGGCAGGGGCCAGGCAGCTGGAAGCGAGTCAGTCTCCACTGGCTTGGGGCACAGGAGGAGGGCCAGAGCCCTGGCTCTGGGCTCCCTTCCTCCCAGGGCCGGCCCACAACATTTTGGCACATGAGGCGGGGAGCTCAAATGATGCCCCCATGCCCCCTCGTTTGGGCCAAAACTTTGAAAGATCTCAATTCTGCCTTCTTCCTGTTCTACTCCTCTCATGGTACTGCTCTGCTACCTACCTTAATAAAGGAGAACTAACAACTTAAAATGCCTTGTTCAAAAATTTTCAGTGTAACCCGTCTGCCCGTCAGAGTTGGCAGCAACAAGGGCCGGGTTCAGTATCTAGGGGTTCCGTTTCAATAATACAATGCAAAACTAGCTCGAGCTTCCACCAAGTGACCGGGGACAAATATATACCACCCCCCCTGAGCGCCTCTAAAAGGCAATACTTCCCCTCTCGCAAGCATAGAGTCTGAGTGTAGCAAAAACCTTTTAATAAAGGAGGGAAACAATGCGGGATTATGTTGGGGAAACACCACAAACAGGATTCATAACACCAACCACGAGTAAAAGACCCACCCCCAATTAAGTTTGGCAGTGTCCTTTCCCCCTCAGGGTCTTAAGTCCAGCAACCCAATAGTCACCTTCCCCCCACCACAGTTGCTGTCCTTGGTCAGTGCAGCCCCCAGAGTTCAGAAGTTCATCTGCAGAGTTTACCTCCCAGCCTGGGTGGAAATGAAGGGAGGTATGGGGGAGGCATCTTACATGCTACGCTGCTGCTCCTCGATGGCCAAGTACCATGCCTCCCCATGGGGTTCGCCTCCCCATGGGGTTCTGCTGCAGTCTTTACCACCACCCGCACCTCTCCGTCAGCTTCCCAGCTATTTGCTCTACTCCGCTATCCACTCTGCTCGCCAGCCATCTACTCACTAACTTGTCTTCAGGCCCCCCGCTACTTAATACAGCTCTCAACAGCTTCAACTCTTCAGTGATTGCAGCTCTCAGTGATTTTTAGCTGGTAAGCAGGGGGAGCCTCAGGGCTGGTGCACCACTACCCCAAAAAGAAAAGGAGTACTTGTGGCACCTTAGAGACTAACCAATTTATTTAGTCTCTAAATTGCCACAAGTACTCCTTTTCTTTTTGCAAATACAGACTAGGCTGTTACTCTGAAATCTGTCACTACCCCAAAGTAAATCTAATGCTTAGATCTAGGTATCAGTGATTTCAACTCTACAGCACATAACAAACAAGGCTCCTAATGGAACCCATACATAGCAAGAGAAGAGATTAAAGTACTGTTAAAGACCCACACTACTAAGTACACATAACCTATCCCCAACCTCTCTCAATTCCCTGGAGTTTGGAACCCATGTCCCTTGCCTGGCAAGTGCTACTTAGTTGGGGGCGACTCCCTTTGTCATAAAATGCCAAGTACAGTTCTACTGTCCTTGATTCACATAACCAAGATAACAACGCTTTATTACTCTGCCCCAATAACAGAGAGACTGGGGATCCCACAGCAGCCTAAATTACCATTTGGTCAAGCAGCCCATCATACTAGGCAGGGTGGGTGTGCCCATGCAAACGAGAGTGCCCATGCAAATGAGATCAGCCCCTGAAGTCCTTTTCCACAGCTCACCACCGGATGTCAGGGCAGAGCTCGTTCTGACTCTGCTTACATAAGTAACACTTAACTTTCAAATGCCTGAACAGCAAATGTAACTTTTCTTCTCTGCATAGTGAACCCTGGCATTTTCATCTGTTTGAATAGTCAAAGTGGTGCTTTCCGTGCCTTTTTGGTTGCAAAGATTTGAACTGCTGAAGGTCCACAGTCTGGGCCAGCTCATGCTCTATTGAGATGGTTTCAAAGCTGACCAGCCTCTCCTGCGTCCTTGTGGAGCATAGATGTGTTTTTATTAACTTCAGCTTGGAAAAGCTGCGATCTCCACTGGCAACTGTTACAGGAAGTGTTAGAAGTATGCACAGAGCAACAAAAACATTTGGAAAGAGGGTGGCAATCTTATTTGTGCACATATATTCCAGAACAGCCTATGGAGTTGATCCTGCTGAAATGTATCTTGAAAGGGCTTTCAGTTCATCACCTAAATCAGTCGCATCAATATGGCGCATGTTATTGTTAGGATATAGATATTCAGGCCTGTCTGTAAAGGCCTATACTCTAAGAATTTAGGTGTATTCCTATCACTTGGCTAGTTAGAGGTATAAAAGAAAGAATCAAAATCACTGTCTGCCAGTGTAAGGGCCTTCTCTTACTGTGACAGTCTGAGGCCCTGTTCTTAGGCTAAGGCCTTTGGCTAAGCGACAGAGGCAGCCATAAGCTGGGAAGTGAATGGTCACATCCTCACATTCCAAACTAGTCACATTGAAATAAGGTGCTATTGGGCTGTTAGGAATTTAATCCTGTCCTTATAGTGCCTATCACCTCCAGAGAAAGGGAAGTGCCTAGAAGCTGTAAAAGGAAATTGAGGTTGATAGTTTTCTGTCTGGTAAGAACTCACTTATCAATAGACACAGCTGGGAAACTCTTATGTCTTTACAGATGTAGTTGTGAAATCCTCACTTCTGTATTGTTTTGTCGTTATAGTTCCCACTTTGCTATTGTTTATTGGCATGGTCTCTGTCTGGTTCTGTGATTGCTTCTGTCTGCTGTATAATTAATTTTGCTGGGTGTAAACTAATTAAGGTGGTGGGATATAATTGGTTAGCTAATCCATGTTAGGATTGGTTAGTTAAATTTTAGTAGAATGATTGGTTAATGTATAGCTAAGAATATTACTATATAAATTAGGGGCAAACAGGAAGTAAGTTGGGATTCGAAAATAAGGAAAAAGGAACTTGTATTTAGCTTGCTGGAAGTTCACCCCAATAAACATCAAATTGTTTGCACCTTCGGACTTCGGGTATTGTTGCTCTCTGTTCATGCGAGAAGAACCAGGGAAGTGGGAGAGTGAAGGAATAAGCTCTCTAACAGTTATCATGTGTCAACACTGTCTCTAGTGCCCTGCATTGCTGGTTTAGGTCTTCTTCAGGTATAGTGAGGAGTTTTGGAATATCATATAACATCCCAAATATATTGCTGTGTTCCTTGAGCTGCATGAAACGTTCTTCAACTGACTGTATTGCACAATCTAGCACCTGGTTAAAGAATTCAACTTTGAATTGTTGTTTGGGGTCTCTTATGGGATTATCCCGTGCCTCCTAATCAAAATGTCGTCTTCTTCAGTGACTCTTGTATTCTTGAATGGGTGGGAAAATAGCTTCAGTGTGAAATTCCTCTGCCAACTTCTGTGCACTCTTCAGAACGTTTTGAAATCCCTCATCTGACTGGTAAGACTGTAGGTATGACTATGCTTTGTCCAGTTGTTCCATTGCTCCAGATATATCAAGGTCAACACCTTGGAGTCTCTTGCTTACAACATTTATTTCAAACACTATGTCATGCCACAACACTAAGCCACACAGAAATTTGAAGTTATGTATGTTTCTGGTGATTCCATTTCCCTCTACCACTGTTCTCCCATGAACAGTTCCTGTCACAGCATTATCCTCCATAATGGCAACTATGGCATCATCTATCTTCCCAATTTGGTGTTTGATAGGCTTTATCGCCTCCACTCGACTTTCCCATCGTGTGGCACTCAGTGGTCTCAGTGTCAGAGAGGATGTTCCCAGATGTTGCTTCAAAATTTGCCATCGATGAGTTGATGCAGAGAAAAATACAGAGATGCTTTGAATTACATTAAAAATTCGGCAGCCTCACTAGAAGCTGATGCTGCATCGCTGACCACCAAGGTCAATGAATGAGAACTGAACGGGACAAAAAAAGCTCGAGGGGTTTAACTCTTGGATCCATGTCTGCACTGCTCTGTTCTGCCCTCTCATGTTGGCACCATTACCGTAGACCTGACCTCTCCTGTCAGCTATCGCAATTGCCGTCTCTTCCAGCTTGTAAGAAGTACATTTGTCATACCAGCTCCTGTAGTATCATCAATGTCAATAAATTCTAGAAAATGCTCTGACAGTCACCATTGCAGGGACATTTTCACTAGGTTCTGTTGTTATTACAAAACACACCATTGAAGTCATTTGTTTCATATGGCTGATGTCAGGTGTGCAGTCCAGAATAACAGGGGAATATCTTGCTGACTTCAGATCTGCCCCAATCTTCTGTTTGACTTTTGTTGCCAGTGACTGTATAATCTCATTTTGAATTGTTTTCCAAGGTAGTGGTGTGTGTACATTTCTTGGGTGGTGACTCTTCTTAGATGCTCCTGGAGTACAGCATCAAACTC